ATTAATTGCTGTTTGGTCTTAATAAGATCCTCTCTTTCTTTAATATATATATATATATATATATATTAAAGAAAGAGAGGATCTTATTAAGACCAAACAGAAATTACAAAGATAAATCAAAGAGAGACTCTAATATAAGGAGAAACTAAGTTATCCCCATGTACCAAAATTCTAAGCTCAAAACCAAGGGAAGATCTAACATTAACAATATTACTAGACGCTCTGAGTTTGGTTAAGAATCTGCAAGTTTATTGGCTTCTCTGAGAGTATGAGACCATCAGATAGTGAATAAAGGTGGCAAACACATGATCTTCCTCTATAAGATGATATTATACCAAGGGCTACTGAAATTCCCAACACAAATATGAAATGTAACCAAAGAATCCATCTCAATTACTGAAGACCAAATCCTCAATCTCCTAGCAATTAGAAGGCTGTAATGAATAGCAGCAAGTTCTGAAAATTAGGCAGTAATAGAGCTCACAGGAGCAGAAAACCTAAAAATGTATTTTCCTTTCCAATCTCTGAAAATTCTCCCAGCTCCAGCTGTCTCTTTCTTGAGACCCCCGTCCACATTTATCCTGACAAAAGGCCTACAAGGCTTAATCTAATGGACAATCTTTACAATATTTCTCCTCTTAGCAGCAGCCGTAACAATGAAATCAGATAGCCTTCCATTTGTTCCTTGAGCAACCTGTGGTACTTTAGTGAAAGTGAGAACTTTATAAATAAAAGTCTTGATATTTGTTAGTATCCTCTTAGCTGGGTGGTTACCATCTTGATGCTTTCTATGATTTCTCTCTCTCCCATCCAAATAAACAAACTGTAGATATATGGGATGAAATTCTGAAGATGAGTGTAAGAATTGCTCCTTTTCCAGTTTTCCAAATATTGCTCCAAAGAGATATAACCATTCAGAGGTAAGAAAAAACTGAAAATCTTGTTCCATATATATAAATATATTTATATATATACCCATTATATGCAAAATAAAAGAGTAAAAAGGTCATTAAATTCATTCATGGGATCGTCTAAATCCTACTCAAATTTAAAATTAAAAATTGCCTTCAATAATTAATATAACCCCTCCTTAAATTAAGCCTTGTTTCAATGAAGAGAGTGTTATTAAATTCAAATTTAAAATTAATGTATAGTAATAGTTCATTGATACTTCATCATTCATTTAAGCCTTGTTTCAAAGGTGGAAGTGTATCAAAAATTTAACATGGCCCATCTCTCTCTCTCACACACACACACAGCGCCAAAAAGCACGCACACATTCAACCATTAAATGATTGTCTCAATAAAAAATAAATTAACCTTATTCAGCCAAATCGCATCTTCCTAATCCTATAGTAGGATTCAGCTAATTTTCATCAAGCAAATTTAATTTTAACTATTCATAAATTAATAAAAAGAGCTAAGATAAAAGAAATTTCCTTCTTAATGTTCTTCAGAGATTTCCTTTATTCTTTCTCTCCATGTTTTCACAATAATAATTTAGATTCTACAAAGCCTAATTTGGTGAAATGAAATCCAATCAAATTGCTAAATTGCACGAATTTTATTGTTATTCCCTGTATTGCCATGAATTTCAGTGCTATGTTGAAGATTTGCTTCTGATTGTAGGGGGAAAGTTTCATACTCGGGCATTAAATAATTAAAAACCTGGTTACATATGGTAGAAAAAGAAAGTTTAGCATGGATAAGTTACCCACCATGCAAAATATATGTTTATCCATGAGAAAGAAAACCACTGATACTTCTAATTACAGCACCTCAATTGTCCAGAAGTGATATTTATTCTCAGAAAAAGGGAACTATATAAACTGTATGTTTATTTTCCATGGATCATGTCATCAAAGAATGGGAGCTACAGATGAGTTGCATAAGGTACATCATCCACATATACAATTAGTACATTGAAGAGAGAATACCTTCCATAACACACATGATAATCAATGGAGAAACCTTTTACACGACTCTAATCTTTGGCATGCACGTTTGATGCTCAGTGTGTGACGGCGCAACCCATGCCACGAATCTGAGCACTGCTCAGCTATCGGGATGTCAAGCCTGGATAACTGTTCATGTAGTGCTGATATATTAAGAAGAGGAACAGTGGTTGGTCGACCATGAGCACACTAGCAGCACAAATGGAATCATAGTGAGTTTAGGAAATATTCAAGGAAGATTTACGTAAATACTACTCATTTCCTATGTATCTAACACCTGAAATTTAAATTTTGCATACATACCACCTCCCTTGGGCATGAAAAGATGTATTTCTCTTTTTAAAAAATAAAGGGGTGGCACTTTTGTGTGATATGAAAGATTTGGATGGTAAGAATGTAAAAAAACAAAGTTTAAGTGTTAGATACGTAAAAACATACATAGAAATTGGGTGGTAAATGCACCAATATTCAATTGTAGATAATAATGCTAAATTACCCAAACATATATATATAATTGAAGTGGATCTAATTATTAAAATTTTTAAGATATGAGATAATTGACTCAAATATAAGAAATTTATTTTAGATATAAGGGTTCATCAGATATCAAGGCTCAGCCTTGATATAAGACGTTATCTAATAAAAGGCCTGTTAGTCCAAGACAAACCTCAGTTTTGACCCAATAAGATAAAAGATCCTTTGACTCTGATATAAGGAGTTTCACTTATTTACATCACAAATGGCAGTCAACTCGTATATGAGAACATGTAAAGATCATTAAATTAATTCATATTTTATAGCAATAACAACTAAAATATGAATTATATAAGCTATAATATGTGGCCTCACTTTGAGTATAGCTTTATTTAGAGAGTATAGCATCATTCAGTTATAAAAATAAACATAAATTCCTTATATTGTTTGATAAAAATTCTGAAAGAAAAGTTTAGTATTTTCTAGCTTTTCAACTAGAAGAATCAAACCTGGAAGCACAATGAAGTTGCTTTTAGCTCTTCTACAATGAGGGAACATTCTGAAGGCAGCAATGCATCTCCAAACATTATGGCACCTTTATAGCACAGACACAGCTCCAGATTAAATAATTGTTCCATATTCAAAAAAACTTATTCCCTTCTGAAAGTTGGGACAATTACATACCTCTGCAGGCTTTAAAATTTAGTATACGAAGCACTGCTGGAGGAATCATGGATGAACCATCCGTTTCAACCAACTATTAATAGATGAAAAAAAAAAACAAACAGCAAAAGAAGCCATTAAGGACCACATCATTAGAGGAAAGGAATCACTCAAAAAATACAGAGGTAAATGCGCCCCCCACCCCCCTCTCCAAATTTGAAGAGAGAGAAAAATAGAATTTTCTCATATTTAAAGAATAATCATTCTTCTCCCAATTTTAATTTATTCTCCTCTCTGATAATCATACTAAGGCTGCATCATTGATTTTAATCTGCAGCATGAAAACTATAGGGAGGCAGGTTTAATCAATTTTCATAAAAACAATAATTCATAAAGAATATAAAAAACAAAGATAACCAAACATCATATAGAAGCCTACTCAAAACTTTATATTAATTATTGTATGTCTTCAATCAAAGCCACGAATAACTCTTATCTGTTGAAATTTTAGCCTTTGCCTAATCATAGAGCAATGTAGTCCCTTTCCAAACATCATATGAAGCGAAGAAATAACCAGAGAGGAAACGGTGAGATTGCTAGTGGACAAAAGAAAGTCTTAAGGTTTTGGGAGACAAAAAGGAGAAAGATAAGAATAAGAAAATAGGGAAGTAAGGAAGTCACTGATTGTGTGCGGGGAAAGCGACATCGTGCACTAGCTGAAGAAAAGAGAAGACCGCTTTTTTGCTTGTTGTGTGTTCGTCTAATGTGTTATTAGAAGCTAATTATACCTAATGAGTTATTATAAGTTCACAAAAAGGACTACATTAATTTGAGAAAAGGAATAATTTGACAATAATGTACAGGAAGGTAAATATGTTTTTATTTTACAATAGCTATGTTTCTGATTGAATGTAACTACACATGTTTTTACTCTTTTAAACATTTATTTTAAAAATGTAAAAATTCATGTTTTTCTTTTAAATGTTCAATGCAAGAAAATAAATAAAATATGATATATGCATGCATATGGAGTCACCCTAGATGGTACTAGCAGGAGAATACAATGTTCCCTTCCATGAATAAGAAAATGGAAAAGAAAATAGTGACGATATTTATAATTGTATATATATTCATAATTGTATTCATTGACGATATTCTAATCTAATGAAGTGATGAAGCTTATCATACAGATCATTTTTGCATCGTTCTACAAACAATGAACAACCAATTATATACCAAGTTGTCAGAGTGTGAACTCCGATTAAAGAGCATAGTGTTCTTGGGCATATCATTAGTAGTGAAGGTATCCCAATGGACCAGAACATGGTTAAAGCGATTGTTGATTGGTCTAAAGAAATCACTATTACAAAAGTTTAGAGTTTCCTAAACCTGACACGTGATTACAGAAGGTTTGTTAAGGGATTCTCTTAGATCATAATGCCTTGTTCAAATTGACTTAGAATGTCATGAAATTTGAGTGGACAGATCACTGTAAAAAAACATTTCAAAAATTGAAAAGTTATTTGATGACAACTCCAGTATTGACTATCCCCTTTAGGATAGAGGACTTTTAGATTTATAGTGATGTGCCTTTAAGAGCACATGAATGTGTGTTTATGAAACATTGGAAGGAACTGCTTATTTTTTGGAAAATCAAAGAATCATGAAAAAAAATTATCCAACACATGAAATAGAGTTAGCAGCAGTGGTATTTGCTTTAAAAAAATAGGGACATTATTTACACGGAGTTAAGTGTGAAGTATTCACGGATCACTAAACTTTAAAGTATATTTTCATACAGAATGAGCTGAATTGACGGCAAAAGCAATGGCTTGATGACTTCAGCTCATTAAAGATTATGATTTGGATATACAATATCACCGAGAAAAAGCAAATATTGTGACAGATGCGTTAAGCAGGAAGGCAGGTGGTAGTGCATAGCAAGAAGAACTAATAAAGATATGGAACGCTTGTAATTATTAGTAGTGATGCCAAATGATAAAAATTTTGCACTATTGCACTGTTAAATCAGATGCTCAGTCAACCAACTTCAAACGATGAAATAAGAGATGTATTGCCAAATGATGCATAGTTTTAAAAAATATAAGACCAAGTGAAAGCTAATCGTAAACCCTAAAACTGTTGAGGCATAAGTAAAGAATTTACATGTTTGATGTGAATGATTTACGAAAAGAAATCATGCGTGAGGCATAATATTTAGAATACATGATACATCCAGAAAATAATAAGATGTATCAGGAGCTTAAAGATTTATCCAAGAGGACAAGGTTTAAGCGCAATATCGTAGAGTTCGTGGCAAAGTGTCCTAATTGTCGGATGATTAAAGCTGAGCATTAGAAGCCTGGTGGGTTGCTGCAACCGTTGCTTATACCATAACGGAAATAGGTGGATATTGTTATAGACTTTGTGATGAGGCTACCAATATCAAACCAAAATTGAGATGTTGTATTGATGATTATTGATCATCTGACCAAGTTTGAAGATTTCTTGTCTATCAGACAGATAGATTTTGTAGACAAATTGATCAGAACTTAGGTTGACGAAATTGTGATACTACATGAAGTCCCAAGGTTTGTTGTTTCATATCAAGTTAGTAGATTCACATCAAGACTATAAAGGAAAGTTCAAGAAGCTTTGGGTACTCAACTGACATTCAGTACAGTTTTTCATCCCCAAATAGACGGTCAGTCAGAGAGAACGATCCAAATATTGGAAGTCCTGCTTCAACTTTGAATTATTGATTTTGATGGAATCTCGGAAATGCACATATCTTTGATAGAATTTGCCTAAAATAACAACTTCCAAACCAATGTTAGTATGGCTCCGTATGAAGTCCTATATGAAAGGAAATACATGAAACTTCTTTATTGGGCAGAAATTGGTGATAAGAAAAATAATTGACATTGATTTATATGATGAAACAACTGAGAGGATTCGGTTGATTCGTAACTAACTGAAAGTAGTCAAAGATAGGCAGAGAAGTATTATGATGCTAAGCACCAAACAGTTCAATTTGAAGTGGAGAAATTTGTTTTTTTGAAGTTCAAGCAATAAAAGGTGTTAAGCAATTTGAAACTTTTGAGAAGTTAAGCCCATGATATGTTGGCCCGGTATGAAATCGGGGTGACATTTGGGAAAGTAGCTTACAAGTTTGCAATATCAACAAATATGTATGGGATACATAATATGTTTCATATCTCTTTACTACAGACATGTATTACTGATGAGGCTAGCAAGCATATTACAAACCGCATGGACATTCAACTTGATGTGACCTTTATAAAAAAACAGAAAGAATCATATAGATTATGATGTGAAGCAAATAAGGAGTATAGAAATTCTTTTAGTTCATGTATTAAGAAAGAAAGAGCTCAAAAAGATGCTACTTGAGAAAAGGAATCCGAAATGAGAGAAAAATATCCACACATTTTCATTTAAAGTATGAAATATATTCTTGTATTTTAAATTTCCAAGACGAAATTTTTGTAAGGATGGGAGATATTAATAATAGCCTATAAAACTTTTTATTCACTTAATAATATAAAAAAAGAATTTACTTAATACGTTCACAAGTGTCGTAAAACAAACCCGCAACACCCGTCGTAACTTAACGAGGATGTATTTTCATCATCTTATCCTCTCATTTCACACAAGAGAAATAGAAAGAGTGAGAGAAAGCCGAAGGGAGCAAGAGAAAGAGAAAGCGTGAGAAACATAGGAAGAAGAAAAAAAACCATATAAAGAAGAAGAAGAAGAAAGAATAACGAAAAGAAAACATAGAATGACTTATTTGTGTTTTGAATTTCATTTTAATTATAACTGTTAGATAGTTTTCCTACATTTGACAGACAGTTCCCACCTTGATACTTACAAATTCTCAGATTGGGTTGTGACACAATTTTTTGGAAAAGAACCTAAATAGTTAAATAACCTGGTTTAAATCTTCAAGATAACTAAATCGGCAGTGAACAACAAATTTGTCTGATACCAAAAAGCATGCATGTAAGGAGTTATAAAGATCTAAAAATATTTGTTACAACAGATAAGTTGCCTACACAAATAAAAGCAAATAGGGTGACATGCAAGCAGAGAAAAGAAACCTAGAGAGCCCTGTTTTACCCAAAAATGGCTCAAAAAGGAATTAAGTGCGTATATAATCTAAATGAATAAAAATAATATACATAAAGATAATTAACTAGAAAAAAGATCATCAGCAATTCAATTACCTGCTCAACATATTCTAAAAGATCTTTGCCAGTTAAATCAGTACCTAAAATGTGTGGTACCTACAAGAAAATACTTGATATAAATTTAAAGATAGAGAATAGTAATCCCATCATCTATGCATAAAAGGTCTTCTATACGCATTAATAAAAAATAAAGTGAAGCATAATCTAAAAAGTTAAAATAGCTACAAAAAAGGTATCAATAAGAACACAGATCAGTAGAAACATCAGTAATTTATAAATCAGAGACTTTGCAACAAATAAGAACTCACAGCAACAAGAGTGGCCCTGCATTTCTGTTGCCTTAGAAAATTTGTGCTCCTGAAATGAAGGAGTTCATTACAATCAAATAAGCATGGGAACAAAATCAGAACTCAATATAACATCGCTGTAAAATTTCAACAATGTTGTTAAAAGAATAAGAATGCAACCAATTCCTGCTATTCTCGTAATGGCACTTTTGTTTTTCCAATTTCTACATAAATACCGAATAACTGGAGGGACCATAGTGATGTTTCCTGGTTCCAATATATCTGAGGTTTCTATCAAGGTTTTCACATATAAAAACGGTTATTTATCTTTAACTTTACTCATTTATGAAAAGGCCCAACCAAAGAGCTCAGAGAGTTGTGCTGACACAAATTTTCCAAAAACAGAAAAGACTCGCTCACAATCCTCATGAATGGAATAAAGCATTGCATGTATTTGTCGTGATATCAATATAATGAATACACAAACATATTGCCTGCTTTACAACAAACTGAAGAAAATGTAGTCATAATTGGGGTGCCAATAGCCCACAATGAAATTAACTAGACCTGCAATTTAGCTGATCCATGGAAATCATTACAAGCATACTTGCTATGATTCAAGCCCAAATTAATACATGATTTTTCTTTGGTCACTAATTTAAATAATCAAAGACAAACTATGGCACAGACCAACTATACAATTAAGATGAAACCATTTAAGCATGGTCAAATTATTTTTACTGTTCACTGTCAAAACAATAAAAACAGAATTCAATAATTGAAAGGCAAGAATTGACAACTGTTTGCCAAAGAGGAGAAAAAAAATTGATCAACAAACATTGCTGATTTAATGTTGATTTTTGGCTACCAAATATTCATGGAGGTCTTGATATGTAGAAATGAGAATTTCGTTTATTCCTTAAAAAACTAATCTTAAGAAAGCATTTAAGATAAAACTATGGCAGACCAACTATAGAATTAAGATGAAACCATTTAAGCATGGTCAAATTATTTTGACTGTTCACTGCCAAAACAATAAAAACAAAATTCAATTCTTGAAAGGCAAGAATTGACAACTGTTTGCCAAAGAGGAGAAAAAAAATTGATCAACAAACATTGCTGATTTAATGTTGATTTTTGGCTACCAAATATTCATGGAGGTCTTGATAGGTAGAAATGAGAATTTCATTTATTCTTTAAAAAACTAATCTTAAGAAAGCAACCACATTTCATTAGACTATCAACTTCAACAATGAGCAGAGCCACACAATGAAAGCACTGAGGCGTCGTGACCCCATTGCCCCAACCTAACAAATTAAATTTAATATTTCACTCCCATAAAACGAAATAGAAAAAACATTCAAAAAGTAATTATTTAATATTATAAAGCTTTCAAATTTATTATGTAAAAACACTCTTCCAGCCTAAAAGGCCATATGGAGTACTAAGCACTCAAGCAGTTAAGTTATACTTTTCAATTTAAAGAATAATAATAATGTATTATTTTCTGATGTGGGACTAAAGGGTAAACACTAACAAAAACCTTTCTTGTTTCACGTGAAAGCTTTACACTAAAAAAGGGGCATTTACATAGATACCACCCAGTTCTTATGTACTTATCACCTAAACTCTACTTTTTACATTTATACAACCCAAATCTTTCATAATATAAGCAAAAATAGTTCAACATTTCTCAGAATTAGATAATATAATAACCTAAAAGCATAATAAACAACCTAATATCTAGTATCTGTAGGCATCTTTCCGTAAACCGATTCCCTCGTGTCAGTCATATCAACATAGTGTTTTACCTAATTTCAACAGTAAATTTATTACTTAGTGAGGAATTACAATATTATGCATTAAACTAATAGCAAATATCATACATGAATGTCCAAAAGAAATGTGATTCATTGATTAATCAAATTATAAACTTTCATTTTAAATTAACCCTTCCTATTTCAAGTTACATATTTACATTTGTAACATTTGTCTTTCTTTTAGGAAGCATATAAGGATCACTGTCATACATAAAAATGCCCTTAGAAAGTTGTACTTGTAGGTGCCCTCAAAAGTTTGTGTGTTGGTATCCTCAAAATTTTACACCCGAAGTTACACACTTACTATTACAATTTTCTTTTTCGTGCATGGGAACAATAGCATTCTACAGTTAATACCATAAAAAGTGTATCTTGATTGACTTGAATATGTTCTTATTATTTTATATCAATTTAATATCATTTAAATGTGTTTTCATATGTCAATTAATTTCATCCTATTTGTGAGACAACTTCAAACATTCAGAATGGAAATCATAAATCATAAATTTATGTTTAATACAATAATGAAATTATATTTTTATCAGCTTGAATTGCAACTTCTAAATAAATCATTAATCAAAGTAATTGCTCACGTTTGCCTTAAATGACCACTTTACAAGATTAATCCCCCACTTCTTCTTATTGCACTTCCTTCTTGATTCTACATATTTTGCCCAAAGCACAATCCAAAGCCCTAATTTGTTGAATCAAATTTTCTTTAACTATCAATTAAATTCATTAAATCATACTTATATCATCTATTTAATTAGACAAAATATCTCATCCAAATAGAACATCTAGACTCTTACCCGTTGACCTCATTTTGAGGTCATTAATCTTTTCCTTAGGATCCTAGTATCTAGCCCTAGGAGTTCCTATTGACCATCTTAGAAAACTAGAATTGGGACCCACCCTTTTTATTTTTAGAACTCCCAGCCACTTCCTATTTCTCTTGTGGTGTCTCGCATTGATGATCTCAAAACCATCGTCCTAAAGTTGAGTGGTAAAGGACTATCATGTGGAGACTCAGGGAGAAGTTCCTAATAGGATCTCAAGCCCTACGAAAATCACTTCAGGACTTTATCATCACACATGCACACCAAATGCACAAAATTCACAAAGTTGCACAAAATCGTACTTAAATTGAGCTTAAAGGATGGGTGAAAATGCGAACTTCTCCGAACAACCTCCGACGACAGAATGGATTGTGACAAGGTGTCCAGGACACCAATTTTAGTAAGAAAATACACTCATATTGTCATATTTCCGACACGAGCAAAATTACACGTAAATCGATGAATTCGTCAAAATGACCTCTAATGACGAAACGGACCGCGTCAGCGCGTTTGGAACGTCGAAATTACTTAAAAAAGACATTAATTTTGTTATGTTTTGATGCACATTTTGTTATGTTTTGATTTTGTTATGTTTTGATGCACGAATAAAAAGTACGAATCAAATTTTATTTTTAAGAAATATTAAATATTTTATATATTTTATTACTTATAATATTAAAATTATAATACTAAACCCTATTTTCTCTATTCCCTCACACTTAATCCGTCGTTCGACCTGCAGCTTAGTCGTACGCTCGGCTCGTCTCCCTCGTGTGCCCTAGCTTCCGTGGGCGATCCACGCGGCAATCTCCTCCCCCTTCCTCGACTCTTCCCCTTCTTCGCGTGGCCGCTAGACTCTTCGGCTCTCCAATTGTAAAGGCCGAGCTGGCCGACCCTTCTCCTTCTCGAGGTTTTACCGTCTCCTTCTTTACTCTGACAATTATTGCCTTGTCGTTTGATTCGATCACCTTACGGCGGTAGGTGGCGGTTCCCCCTCTCTTCTCTGCCTATAAAAAAGCTTCTTAATATATTTTTTTGGGTTGTTGAAAATTTCTTGAAAAAAAGAGAGGCTGTGGTTTTACTGTTTGAGGCTTTTAGGGAAGAAGGCTCTGCTGAAATTCTTTCTAGGCCAAGTTTTTGTGTGCTGGGATTGTGGAGCATTTGTGGATTGTTGTTCTCTGAAGCTTTTAGAAAGGGAAGCTTTGTCGAAATCCTCTCTAAGTTAGAATCTCGTACGCTAGGAGTGTGGAGCATTCGTGGGTTATTGTTTTCTAAAGCTTTTGGAGGAGATTTTCTGTAGGAGGTGTTTTCTTAAATTTGTTCTACAGTTTTACTTTAAGTCTGCATTAAGAGATATTTCTCTTCTTTCCTCTAATCTGCATCACTCGTATTTGCACCTGAAAATATTTTCTTTCTCTTTTAAAACATGTGGAAGTAAAGTTCATGCCTGCTTTTGAGATCTAATCCTGGAAAGCTCCTTGAATCAATAAGATGCTGTGTAATATGGCTGCTTTCTCTTACTTTCTGATTTGAAATGCATGATAAAGGAAATTTGGAACATTCCTATGATTGTCATGAAATGATAACTGCCTATTTGAAATATATGTTAAATGAAATAATGGTTTGAGTTTTGATTCTAAGAATCTCTATTATTGTTAGCTTTATTCAATTAAATGATGGAATTCATTTCAAAGCTTGATGACGTGTTGGCTATAAAGATTCATGCATATTTATATGCTTCCTGTTATTTGATTCCATTCGAAACATATGCTGGCACAATACTTTAAAATATAAGGCTCCAAGAGGAAATATTTTTTTTTAGCTGTTTTAACCCATTTGAAGGGCTCGGTTTTAGCTCTTTGGAGTTGGATCTTTGCTGGAAATATTTTTTTAAATCTGTTTTTGCCCTTATGTTGGGCTCGGTTTGAGCATGTGATGGCTCGGTTTTGGCTCTGTTAGGTGGAAATTATAGATGAAAATTTTCTCTGTTTTTTTCCCCTTTGTTGGGCTCGATTTTGGCTTCTTCTAGGTTGGATTTAACTAAAAGTTTTACATTATTTTTGACCCATTTAGTGGGCTCGGTTTGGCTCCTTTTAGTATTATGTCTTAGCTGAAAGTTCTCTACTGTTTCTCCCCTTTTGGAGAGCTCGGTTTGGCTTAAATTGCATTCTTTTCTTTAGCTCTTATATTGGGCTTGATTTTGTCTAAGATCTGGGCTCAGTTTGGCTTGGAGGTTTATTTGTTTTTGCCACTTTTGTTGGTTTTAGTTGAGCTGAAATCGTGTTTTATTTTTTGACTCTACCTGCTGGACTCAATTTTGGTTGGAATTATAATTCTGTTTGCCCTTTCCTGCTTGGCTCGGTTTACTCTCTATGGCTCCCTATTTTGTTCTTTTTACTGGGCTCGGTTTGCCCCTGTGTTGGGCTCGGTTTTGCTTTGAAATGTTTTAGTTTTGCCCCTGCGTTGGGCTCAATTTGTGCCTTGTGTTGGCTTGGTCAGGTGTTGTTTCTAGCTCAATATATGGCTTGCTTTGGGCCCCTATATTACTTTTCTAGGCCTTGAGCCTTTTAATTGCGAGCTTCCCTATGTGTTGGTGGCTTTCCTGTTACTGTTCTCGGTCGTGAGCCCTCTCCCGTGGCTCTTTTATGATTAAATGTGGTATGGTGATTTCCTTGGTTGTCCCCAGCCGTGAGCTTCTCTTTTAAGATTCTCTATTGCTTGCCCTTTCCCGAGAACACCTATTTATGTTGCTTGTCCCTTTGTGTTGGGTTCGGTTGGGTTGGAAATTCTGGATATAATGTTCCATTTTTGAGATTTTTATTCGTAATCAAGTTTGTCATCCCAAAATTCATGATTTCGATATATACTTCTATATGAAAATGTTTGGAATAAGCTGATCAATTCATTACTATATCTTACTCAATGAAAATGGCTTCGGTTTGGATAGTTTATGATAGTCTGTCCATTCACTCTCTTATGTATATCAAAGGTAATACAATGGCAATACCTATGGTGGTTTCCTTCCTGTTGCCTTGGCTGTGAGTCTTACTTGGTGATTGTTGTCTTTGTGGCCTTCTTCTTTGCCCCTACCCGTGAGCCTTATTATTGTAATTTGTGTTGTGGTTGGCTGGGATTTAAGTTGCTTCTCATTTTATCCTAGCTATGAGTTCTTCCTATGATTCTTTTATATTAAAGGTGGTTGGGTCAGGCTTAAATATGTGGTGGCTTCTCTCTTTTCTTGGCCTTACCCATGAGCTTAGAGGGAAGAGGCCTTTCTCTTGTTGCCCTTTACCCGTGAGCTTTACTGTGGAGGTTCTTTGGTCTGTGACAAAGTTGGTTCGGGTTTGGCTTTCTTCTACTGCCCCTGCCTGAGAGCTTTGTCCTATTTACTGTCTTAAATTGTAAGTTCATGTTGAAGCTTGGCTGTGCATTTCACGGTTTCCACTTGTGGGCTTATTGTGAGGCTTAGCTGCTCTCTTTCCTGGCCTTACTCATGAGTCCCTGCTCTCTTTCTTGGCCTTACCCATGAGTCATTGCCCTCCTTCCTGCTGTTACCCGTGAGCCTGTGGAGCATTATTCAGTCCATTTTGTCCTGGTAGTAAACACTTGTATATTTTCTAAATTGGTGTTACATTTGTATAATTGTGGAAAGCTTCTAAAAAAGGGATGAAATTGAATGGATTGGATACTGGTATAGTTTTAAGGATTTTAAAAGTTGCTTCAAAGGATTATTCTCCTTATTTTGGATTTGAAAGCCTATAAAATTGTCATTTGGAAAAGTGTTCGGAGATTTAACATTAAAGTTTGGAGAAAATAAATACTATATTCGGGTTCAGGCATGAGTGTGTGATTGCATATAAGTGATGGAGCCATGAGAACAGTGTTTTGGGCCCATTGCAATCTATTTGAAACAAAATTTGGAAAGGATACAATTTTTGGGTTGATCCAATTATATAAATTTGAGAAGATGATATCCTCTGAATTGATTCAAGGATCTTGAGCCATCTTTTTCAAATCTTTTTTGTCACAGTTTTGAGGGTTGCTCCACCCTTTATTATTTTGATCTTTTGGGTGGATCAATTCCTCCTCTCTCATCCTCATTTTTATTTTTTTTCTTTGCTTCTTGATCGATTTTCTGTACTTATGTCTGATACATAGGTGCTCATATATAATTTTTTACTATATATGAAACCATCAAGTCGCAAGTAGGTCGGTTTTGTTTTGGGGCTTAGGATGATGATGACAAAGGCACGCCGGTGATAGAGCAAAATGATATCTCATCCTACAACATCATGACTCAATTCTGGGACTAGATGAATTATAGGATGAAAATATCATTCACCAACACAAGACTAGTGGGGGATCCGTACCTTCTTAGGATGTTGGCGATCCTATGTCCGATGACGTGATCGACTTGTGGACATCTATTCATTTTTAAAAATTGATAAAACAAATTAATAAGAACATATACGATATTTTTTTACTATAAAATTAATACAATTTTCCTTTTGTATGCTTGAAATATATGTGCATGCTAAAATATAAATTTTAAAAGTATCATAACTTGGTTGTCCACTTGTTGATTACCGATACCGGACTAAGGAGTATCCTCCTAATTTAGGTTTAGTAGGACATTCTTCTAGTGGAGTGGCAGTTTTTATACACCTGGGTGACCAATAGTAGTCTTTGACGTCCCTCGAGTACAAATATATATTATTTGAGCCTAGCCCCGACCCGAGTGCTTGCGGTCCCCTCTTTTCGGATTTTTCGTAAGTTTTATTGGATTTTGGACAAAGCGCTCGTGGTCTTTTCTCCGAGATTTTCTCGAGGTTCCGATAGTTTTATTTGAATTGTTACTAGTCAATTTTCTCGAGTTTTCCTTCGTGGATTATTTGTCGATTTTCTAGAGTTTTCCAGTCAATGTTTCTTTAGTTTATACAGTGAATAATAGCTAGCTAAAAGAAGCAACAAGTCTCCCAAATATATAGTTTTGATTTACATTACAGTATTTTATTTCACAGCATGTTATAATGTTCTTTTGGCATGTTATATTATTCTCCTAGCATGTATATTGTTCTCTTCTTTTATACCGCAAGTTTTATTACTTTGATACACACTATGCCTTAGTATAAAAAAACCTAGTGATTACATAGGATTAATAGCAAACCTGAAGTTGCTACGACGAAGAACTTGGATCGAACACCGTGGGCAGCATGACGTGGACATACGGAGGAGCCACTTCAATATGGATTTACAACATCAAAACACATTCACATCACTAATCACTTTCCTTAGTTTAAATAACAGCTCATAGAATTTCGAGAAGGTTTATCTAGCGTAGCATAAACCCTCACATATCATCTTTAGGTTTTTGCACAACCCTGTTGTGCAATTATAAGTCCTAACACTTTAGGATTCCGATGTTACTGTACGGTACTGTGTAAATTCTACTATCTTTTTACGTCATTTGCACGATTAAATATCGTGCGAATATAAATCATAAATTCTAAATAAATTGTAGGATTAAAAACATTAAATAACATCATGTCAAAGATATAAAGTCAAACAATATAATAGTTCGGAAGTCACCAGGGTTTCCCCTGGATCTGTGATATCCCATATTTTTCGCTCCTTTGGATTCTTTAAAATAATTGTTCCTATTTTAAGCCACTCCTATTTGATTTTCTCATGTCCAATTTTGGAAATCTAAACTTTGAAATCTTGAAGCAAAACCACTAATCTTAATCGAGAGTTTTCACGAATGATCCCGATCATTTGAGATGCAATTAACTATAGGGGTTTGCCTCTATAGGGAACCTGGAACCCAGGTAAAATAAACTCTATCTAATCCTTATATTAGGTAGAGGAACTTGTTAGCCTCATATAAAATATTTCGCAGACCAAACGAATGTCACAAATTCATTAGTTTAGGTGATTGAGCCTAATACAAGTGATATGTTTATTTTTCGGGATAAATATATTACTGGAGGTATCGTGCTTAGTCATTCAAACTATCCAAAATGTGAGCTCACTTGATCTCATCTATTTTTAAATTAAAATGTTACTTTCAAAAATTAAATTTATATTAAAACTATTTTCATATTTATAAAACTTATCTACCTTTTTCAAAAATCCTAAAGTTTAAAAAGTTTAAAATTAAAATAAAATGCTCGACATTACCTTATTAAAATTTGCTCAACTCGAGTCCTTTACATAAAACTTTCCACTTAAGTTATCTCCTGTTTCGCCAACTCTCCTCGATCCCAACAAAATATCCCTTGCTTTTATACTTCTTAATTCTATATTTGAATTCATAAACAATAATTAACATTACTCAATTCAATATAAACATAACCCAAAATAAACCTAGCCCTAACCTTACCTTAAGCCACGGTTCGGCTCGGTTCTCCCTTAACTCGTATGTGGCTCCTCCATTAGAATGAAGGATCAAGAGGAGAGAGACAGGTTTGGCATCGACATAGAGAGGCATGCTGAGCAATTAGGCAGAGAAAGATTAATCCATTTTTTGTTTTCTTTTTTTTTTAATGTTGATTAAAACAATGCCGACAAGAGGTGTGAGAGGAGGGAGCCCCATAACATCTACAATAATACAGCAATCCATGAACAACAGTTTTCAATCCACAAAAACCCATTAATCCATAGCAACAATGGATTTCTTTTGTTACGTTATTTTTTTATTTCATAAATTAAAATTGAATTTAAGATTTATTTAATTCCATGAAAATTATTTCTTCACCTATCAATGTAAAACTTCGCACCTTTATTTATAACACAAAAAGAAAAAAAAATGTAATCGTATATATTTCAAGAAAGGTGGAGGAAGACCTAAAAATACTTGGGCATGTTGTATAAAAAATGATCTTAATTTATTAAAATTAAATGAAAATATGAAACTAAATAGGGCACAATGGAGAAAAAAGATTCATATAGCCAAGGCTACTTATTGGGATAAAGGCTTGTTATTGTTGCTTTTGTTGTTGTTGTTGTTGCACTCTTCTCACTTCTCATTCTATTTTTCAAGTATTAATTTTGCGCTCTTTCAAATTCTAATTATTTTTTAAATCCTATGAAGCGCATTTGGTACACGTAAATTAACAAATGAATTAAAAAGTCTCAAGCAAGAAGAAAGCTCAAAGGTAAATAAGAATAAAGAATCCATAATAACCTAAGAATGCTAAAGTTGGCTTCTTGACAAAAATACATGCCATTAGATCGCATACAAGAAGGTTTTAAATAACTGGATATTTTATTAAATAAACTACATCTCTTTTCATTTTATTTTTATTTTCCAAGAAAATAACTTCAGAAATCTCAGAACAAACCATGTAAACGACTCTGAACACAGACTGTGAATGTTGCAGATCCAACCCCATTTCTTTATCTGCTCTGCATACTTTTGAAGCAGTTGATATCCCAACTCTGGAAGAACCTGACCAAGACAATAATTCTCCAATATTTTAAAGACAAAAAGAGGCAAACTAAAGACCGCTGTATAATTACAGCACATAGAAGAACTGCTAGGCATTAGCAACTCGAGTTATACCAGTTCGTGCTCTGGATTAAGGTAAGTACTGTTCTGTAACTCACCATGTAAAACCTATTCAATAAAGAATCATATGGTTTAAACAAAAAGAAAAACACAAAATATGCCAATGAATGTAGGAAGGGTTCGTTTTGCAGAGTTCACCTTTTTACGTAGCTCTTCAAGTCTTATCCTTTCATCTGCAGCATGCTGTAAAAGAGGATTCAATTGTGATTAAAATAGTAAAGCCAGTAGCAACAGAAATGGTTTGAAAAAAAAAATACAGATTTATGCTCATGATATATAAAATATAAGTCCAAGCAGAAAAGATAACTCTCCATGATTTTCAAAGCTAAGAATCTAAAGTTATTAATATGTAATGACTCATGCTACTCTAGATAAAACGCTTGTTGGTTTAGTCTCAAAATCAGACTTGTGATTGAGTACAAAAGTATAATTCTGCAAAAACTTTACCCATTGGACATATATATGATCTAGTTTCTTCTGGATAATGATAAACCTAAGAGCCTGATAGCCAGTACATGGTATGAGCCTATGAGGCAATACATAGTGTCTCTCATCCCTTCCCAACTAATCCAGCCTTGTACCTTTCAATGATTTCATCAGCCCTGCATTTAGTATTGAGAAGCCATTTGCATTTTCTTTCCCTTGAGTCTGAAGTTTGAAGTGCACTTTCTCTAATGCTTGGATTCTCATAAACATCTCTTCATAAAGGTATTTTTTATAACTTCATGAATGTTGTTTGGGATGTTCATTTACAATGAAGCCCCAAAGAACCCAAACAATAAATTATAATAGGTAATAAAATTCAATGATTGGATGTTCGGTGCAAGTTCTAACACCTTTCTTATAAGCAATAAGTACATCAAGATCACCATTAGAATCAGTGTTATCATGTGAAGCACAGTTGTAGCTCAAGTCAAACATTAGATTAACCTCTATGGAGTTGTTTCTCATACTTATTGATTGAATATTCATAACATCTGGAATAAGAAAATTCATTTTTATAATGTACTTCGTATGCGATCTTGGGCATTTTTTGGACGATCAAGAAAATGAGGTGATGCAGGGCATCTCTCGCCCAAGGCTTGATGGAAGTCGGTTCATTTTTTGGCCGATCAAGCAAATGAGGTATGCGGGGAATCTCTCGACCCAGACGCTACAAAAGTTTTGAACCGGCCCAAACGCGACAGGAAATTGTGAGCTAGATGTATGGAGCAGTCCAATTCAAAGCTGGAAGGTTTGATCGATCTCCTTAGGGCTTGGAACTGCCACCCAAAGGCAGTGGACCCCTTCTTTATTGCCTAATAGTATCTATATGTTATTTTGGGTGTTATAGGGTGTTTTCTTCTTTTAGGTTTCTGCAGGACAGCCATCAGCGTCCGGTTTTCATTCTAGGATTGTATCCGAAGATGAAAAGATGCTCCAACTGTAACTAATCTCGAGGTACTGTGTATCCATCGATCCCCTGCTTCCCACCACCTCTCCTCCGCTGACGCTGTCACACTAGTCACTGCAGACACTTGGAAATTGCCTCTCGGCTATTTCCCTGCGTCAATCAACACTTCCAACGCTGCCATCTAGCTGTCAGCCCCTTCCCATTAACTCCAACTTGCCGCAAACCCCTCCAACCAGCACCCTACCTGCTGCCACCACATTTTCAGCCCCCTCTAAACTGCTGCCGCCCTTCTCGGCCACCTCCCACCAGGTGTCTCCCAATACCATCCATTACAACTTGCTGTCAGCCCCTGTCAACCCCACCTGCTTAAACTAACCACCTTTACAGCAACTGCCCACCTGCAGCCACACCCTTCCATCCACCGCCCTTTTGGTCACCTCCAACTTCCGTTGCTTACCGTCTACCCTGAACCGCAGCACCATCACTCTCATCCCCAGCCCAAGTTGGGTCATGTTGTGTCTTTATTATTTCCTAGTTTCAAGTGTCTCTAATTGTAACCTCTATTTATTTTTGGGTAACGATATTTATTTTTCCTATTGTGGTTGGGTTTAACTCCGGCATTATTTGGTATCATAGCTAGCCTAATCCTTTAAAAAAAAAAAAATATTTTAGCATCCTTCATACCCAAACCTATCTCCA